AAGAAATTGGCATAGGGGAGCAACACGGTCAAATTGATAACGTTGTAAGCTCGATATGATGACAATGACAAGAGAGACATAACATGTGACAAATCTTTTACAAGATTTTGACTTTAAACGTATCCTTTAAAGTGTCCTTAAACTCTATACTTATGACACCAATGCTTAAATGTATTTGATCACCGAAAGCTGGTTAAACGAGTACTGCGTAGTTTTTCAATAACTTGATTAACCATCACAAGTATCACGATATAAAACATATTTTCATTATATTAATCAAGAGAAATGAGCTACATGTTTGTATAATGTCAAATGAATATAAATATTTTAGCATGTTTATTAGTAAATATCAATTTTCTGTTGAGAGCAATAAACAATTCGCAGTCATTGCTATTAGCGCCATGAATTTAATCGATGTCAGCTTTTGTCTAATTAGATTTACTAATTAATAAATGTTATATGGTAATAACGCTATATAATTCATTCATGATAGCATTTTAACTGCCACAATTATAATGTATAGAACAATGTTGTATGTTTATAGGTTTAATAAAAAGAAAAAAATATCCAATGCCTACTACTGTCGGATGATGAACAAATTTTCTAAACGAAACATTGCAATTCCCTATAATTTGTCTTACAAAGAGAAAAAATACAATATTTTGATATCAAGAAGATATAATTCTATTAAAAATTACTGTATGAAATAAGAATATTGCATTTTACATATATGTTTTCAATGTCCAATTCATATATTATTTGATCTTCAAATTTATCGCAAACAAAATCAAACAGATATCTTACCGTAAAATTAGCTCACCAATGTTTACAATAATGACTTACGTCTTAGGCAGCTCGTCAATTCTTGCTGTAACTGTTAATTTTAAGCTCAAGTACATAAATTTTGTTGATGACTTATCGATTTTTATTTGAATTAAGTAAACTTCAGAAACATTATACAAAAAATAAGGTTATGTGTATAGATTACCAGTAAATGTATCAATTAAATAATTTCTTTCAAAAGGCCAAACAATTATTTGTGCATGCAAACATTGTCCACTGTTGACAAATGATTGCCTTCGGTAATTTGAAATATCACGACATAGTTTATTTACGCCAAAAAAAGATTATTCATAAAATTCTCAGTCCTGGTAAGGTTCATCAGTGTATAAACATGTTCGCATACTATGTTAATGGGGGATGATAGTCCGGCCAGTGGTTAAGATGTGCTACTAGTGTCAAAAGTATTTTCAGGAACCGGACGCTAAAATGGCCTAATAACCCGATGTTTAAAGTAATCAAAATATTGATACATTCATTTTCTACAATATCGATACAGTCCTTGACTGGCATGGACAGGTAACCTAACAGTGAATGAAAAAAGCATTAAATTGCATTTCTCTATCTACCTTTAACTTTAGAAACATATCAAAGAAGTTTATGTTCAAGAAACAGTGTTGAAGTGTACGCTGAGAGAAATTAAAGTTTAAATTGAAGAGGGTGTCATACAATATTTTTTGCACATTCAAATAGTGTGAACAATATACGATACTCGGATTTTGATGCCGGTCTGCATTTATTCATTATTATGACTTTTTCTTGTCTTTTTGCTTTACGCCGATTGCACGTATCTCACAATGATTAAAAACATAGTGATATGATATAATAAAAAAGATATGATGAGTTAAAATAATATAAAAAGAGATATGAAAATGGTTCAAACATCGATATATTGACAATAAAAATAGTATCACACATTCAGCTAATATTCAATAATACAAAAGTCAAAAGGAAAGAAAACACTAACATTATGCCTTGTTCTCATATTTTCAGGGGTTCTCATATTTTCGTGGCGTCATTTCCGGTCGTGAATGACAGCTCGTGCCTTTGATTGGACGCCCCAAAAAGCAGTCAAGTTTTCGCCAACACTTATTTCTATCAATTACTACCGTTAAATAAATGTTAAATGTCAAAAAAATTTCATGTTCTCTGTCAATGTCATTTCAATTATAATTATTTATTTTCTCATTTTTATACGTTATTTTCAAATACACAGCAACAAAAAAGAACCAAAAAACGTATCTTCGCCTAAAAATTCATCACCGCGACTTATGCCTTACTTAAACCAAAGTCCCGAAATATATTGAGTGCAGTATAGAATTTGAGCGTGTGCAACGTAACAACCAAAACGAGGCTATCCAATCAAAATCCCCGAAAATATGAGACAGCTTCCGAGGACACAGACTACCGATAGTGAAAGTAGAATGATTAGGATTTATTATTGAAATACTTTATTTTCGTATTTTAAACGGTTCCTTTTTTGTTTGTCATAGTTTTAACCTACTGTTGATGTTTTTTGTCTTCCACTTACTATTAATTTAAAAACGGTGGCTTAAATTTAAAACGTTAACCCCCGAAAATACGGGTCAACGGCATACCCGCAAAGTTCACCACTTTTTCATCAAACAGAATATAATAATAATAATAATAATAATAATAATAATAATAATAATAATAATAATAATAATAATAATAATAATAATAACAGGATTGGTGCACCATTAACTGGTTTAAACTCCCCAGCAGTAATTATGCTGCTGACCGTTCCAAGGTGGCGCCCCTCTGTGTTCCTCAGATGTATGTCTATGTTGGTTCATACTGTTTGGTGACACTTTTGTGTCCCTTGTTGTTTTCTCGTCTACGGTAAGTATCTTCTCCTTTGCACCTAGTTTCTGTTTGTTTTATTTATTCCCCTCCCTTCCCCGGGTCTCATGTCCCCTTCCCCTGTGCCCTTTGACTTTATGGGTCTATTATTCAATTATTTGTTTGTTTTCTTTTGGTTCCTTGTCGGTTGCTGATTGTTTAATCTTATGTATGATTTTAGTGGTTAGCCTGCCCATGCTCTGCCTTGTGTCCTGTCCTGTTTTTGTTTGGGGACCTCCTGGGCTCCTTGCCACTGGTCGGGTGGGGTTTGCGTTCATTTAACGCCGCCTTTCCTTGTTGATCTTGTTTATCATATTTTATCAATTTCAATACATCGATGTGTGATAATATCTCATGTATAAAGCTTTCACAGATGTAGCAGACTTGATATAATTAGGAAGGCCGTTCTAAATATAAGATCCAGAATAAACAAAAGATTGGTATTATTTGGTCTACGGTGTAAAGTTGAAAATCAGATGACGAACGCCAAATGCGAGTATAAACATCTGACGATAAAATGAAATAATTTAATAAATAGGAAGGCGCCTAATCATTCATTATCGTAAACATCGTAATAGATTTTCAAAAAAACAACCTTCTGTGAAAAGGTCATCCAGTGGAGAAAATAGTTTAGAAAGAATACTAAACAATACGATTGTTGTATTATGTACATTGTTTCATAAAACACCATCCTAATCAAGCTATTTACTGTTGTCACATTGTGTTTAATACATAATTCAGATGGAACATTATACTTTATGTCGATATTTCAATAATAAACAGTCATATTTCAATAATAAATGAATTTCAACAGAATTTATTACGTTTAATTGATAGTTGACATAAGTCATTAATGCACGGTAATTGGAGCTTTTATATTAGTTTGTAAGTCATGCCTTTGTTACCTTACATTATACCATTAAAAAATGGCTGTGATTATTTGTAAATCTAACACTTCCTTATTTAACCGACATCTGCTGCATCAATTAGCAAGAAATAAGAGAAATAATGGACTGGTTTTCCTACTTCCTTGTTCCTCTGTTTAATATAAAGGTTTTATATATTAAACAATACCGTTCAATTGAATGCGAAATAAAAAAAAAGTTCTCCTATGTAAGGACTGTGATTTAGTATGTACGAATTCGCTTAACTGTTTGCGTTAGACTTAGCAGCCTCTACATATGTCTGTTTGAATTACACATCCACACTATCTTCATACCGCTATGATTTATTTATCTTATTAGTGAAATTCAATAAATACAATCATCCGGCACCAATGATTTATTTGAGAGCTTCCTCAAAGCAACTATAATATTGTTCATTAGATTGGAGATATTTTCTAAATCAATGGTAAACATATTGTTGCTTTAACAAACAAAATATCTTTTCCTATTTTTCAATACCCTTATGTACATTTTCGTATTATGAATGCAAAAGTACATTTTATAAATGTATGAATATCATAAAACAGTAAAATAGAACATTAAATGTCGTACAACACTGTATATTAGATGTTACACTCAGTTTGTTTGAGCAAAATCAATGTTTCACTCTGACCGTTTAATGCCACTTGTTCTAATTGTTAATACTATATAATATTATACAACTCAAAAAAACAAAAACAAAAACAAACAAACAAAACAAGTAAAATACTCGTGGATCCCCAAGAATGTATATATATTTTTTTCACAATGTGTAAAGAATAAAATAGAATATAAAATATACTTAAATATTCACCAGCTCTTCAATATTAACAGAAGATAAGCCAAATTTGACAAGCATGTTTTAAAAGCCCTTTTCTATACATGGTGATGTAATTGTTGGACACGCATGGTATATTTTACGTTACTTAAATAACGGGATAAATTTAATAAAGAACATATTTTAATTGTTTAAAACATCACGTTTCGCTTTTTTATTTTGTTGGATGAAAACCAAAATAATGTTTCCGTAAGAACATATCAATACAAACAGGTTTTATTACAGATTAAATCATGAGCATACATTGCAGATAATTTCCAACTGCTTTCTTGCATCGTGCTCTATAAAGATGTAGATATATATTACAGAACATCAATCAATATCAATTGGGATTGATTTACTAATGTGTTAGTATACAGAACATGTATTAACTGCTGATAAGATATGCAGGTCGTTAGCACTTGTGTGATTTTGTAATATTCTGTGATATATTTCAACACTTAATTAAGAGGTTCCTCTTACACAATCAAAGAATCAGTTTATAATAAACAATTTTATAAGAAGTGTATTAATTTATGACAAGCGATGACACTGACCTCAATCCTTCATATGACTTTTTTCTGTCCTCCTTTAACGTATGTAATGATCTTTAATTGCAAGTTCACTGTTGACATATCTGCAAAAATAAAAGTGAAAGAAAAGGATGATAATTATCAGTAACACCATATTTAAAGGAACTGAGGTTCAAAAGTATAAAAACATAATATTTGATTTTCAGACATAGTTCAGCTGGAGCATTTAAAACAGAATGATATGCTTGAGATTATTAGGAAATATACTCAGAAATAAATTGAAAAAAAAAACCCGTATTTTGTGCTATTTTAGCTCGATTTGAGTGGATGCGTTGCAACGCTTTTCAATTTTGACTCATTTTTCACAGTAAGATTAATTATTTTGGAAAAACGGAGTAAATGAATGATCTCAAGTTTTGCATACATTTAATTAGTTTCGACCTACATAAAAAGGAACAGTAATTTCAAAAAATTATTTCTAGTCCCGTCATGTCAGAAAAACTCAGTGAAGTCCCTTCAAAAACAAAAAGGTAAATGAGTGCCAGCTAACTCTAGTGATTATATAGGAATATCAGACAAGCGACGAATTACTTGCATACTTTTAAGACTCATTACGGTCACTTCTAATAAATAAGAAGTGGTTTGTACATAGTTGGTTTACAAATAAACAACATCTATATATTGCCCGGTCGTATTGGTATGAACAGTCGATCTAAATCGAAAAGGGAAACATTTTAATAAAAATTTTATATGAATTTTTGAAACAACTGAACATTCTTACTAACTTACAAACATACAAATAGTCATTTCTTTCTTAAGACGTTGTAAAATGTTGCACATATACATATATAAGATATATATTGCAATTTAATTGTCTAGCAACAGAATCAATTTACCGTGTTTAAATACAAAAAATTCTAAATAACATCCTTAACAAACGAAATGACTAGGAGCCGTATTATAGTAAATTTGTCAACAATTTCACTAACATCAATTGTTAAAGGACTTCCGGACTTCAGAATGTACTATTCAGAATGTACTTTCGTAAATCAAATGCCATTTGATACAAGTTTGATTCATTTTGTATGGAAATAAATAAACAAACAAAATTATAGAGAAATTTGATTTGTTATAAAAGAAAAAACGAAAACCCAATATATTTCCATAAATCACACACTTAAACGATGATGGGCCTGTTTGATTTAATTAACTAATGTAAATAGATGGTAAACTTTCCAAATCATACACATCTGATACTTTTGAATTGCAAATGTTATTTGAAGAAAGTGGCTTTAACAAAATAAATTAATATATAAAAAAAACCATAAAATATTATCCCAAAACACGACAGAACGGTGCCTAAATAACACAATCATATTATGAAACAACGCAAATTTCTTTAACATCTCGCTTAAAGAGAAATTGATCACAGTAAAATTATTATAATAAAGTATTATTTTTCCTTGTAAATGAAAATCAATTTATCTAAAATACATCACAAAATACCACAAATATTTGAGCTTGTTTTTTTACATAATAAGGAAAGCTAAAATAAACTGGAAGTTATCTGTTATTGAGTGTAACGATTATGCGATGACAAAAGGTTTTCGTTAGGTTAGGTTATCAACACATTGTAAACTATTACTGTCATTTTGATTGTAACGCCTATCTAGTTAATACTAGTGGTATTAAATACTAAATTTACTAATACAAAAACAGTCGTAAGGTAAAGTGAGTGGTTGCATATAAATACACGTCCAAATTAAATGTTCCATTGAGAGCAGTATAGTTAGATTAGCATTGTTTACATTTATATATACGTTCTAATAAATTTCATTCAGCTGCTAACATTCATATAGGTAATTTATTTCATTTGGTGTTTCACATGGAGCAAGAGGCGATGTGGGTAAAAGCATTTCGAGTAAATGGATCTCTTGAATTAAATTATATTACAATATTATATTGTAATTAAATTTAAAATTTCACTGTGTTAATATAATTATAATATTTGTAATTACATTCCTGATCACATTTCTATCGCAGGACTTGTGAAATTACACGAACAACACTGTAGTAACGCCATTAACTGTTTATCATTATTGTATTATTATGTGGAATAGTTCGGCTGCATTTAGTATATACACTGTATATAATATATATAATTATATTTCAACTATAGCATTTTTACTGTGTTAATACACTTTTAGCAATCCATTATTACACTTTTAGCAATCCATTGTTCTTTTGGAACAGTGATTTTTAAAACTCAATAAAATAAAATGACTCTCGCTTTCCTGCCTGTACAGATAACTGCGACTATTTGTGTAAAAATGATTAACATACAGAATTATTTATTACATTTGCTGCCATTTTAAACTATTATTCAAATTTAAACTATATTGCTTTACGCTTTTTTAATAGAGAATAAAAAACAATTTTCTAAATTCTTCCTTCATGTTCAATAACATTTTCTTCACAATTATAAATGAAATTAAGACAATTTTAACTGATTTCTTGATTAAATGGAAGAATAATCTCTCCTATCATATTTGCTGTCTATCGAAAATCTCTGACAGAAAAAAGACGACATTTAAAATAAGACATTAAATGGTTAATCAAATCTGCTGGCAAAATATTCATGAAATTGCTTCCGTATTTCGCTCAATGTGCTCCGAGTTGGTTACTTTGTGATGACGTTTGTCGTGAATGATTCATGGTCCGTCGTTTTTTCTTCTCATTTACAATATGGTAGATTTTGACCAAACATTATAGGTAAGTATAAATCTCGCTCAAAGGTGAAAATTAGTCCAGCATTTGTGGTCACTCAGTTTACAAAGACTTGAAATGTATTGAAACTAAACAAAGGTAGTAGTTAATTATAATTAAGGAAAAAATACAATTCGCTGAGAAAATTGCCATATACATCATTAAAATGGTATAAGCGAAATCAATTTGATTGATTGTTGTTTACACAAGTTTCTATAAAGCGTTCAAATCCCGATGGATTAAGGAATGAGCGTTAAAACATTCACAGCCTAACCAACGCCATCGTGTTTGAATGGTTACAATAACGGCATTTAAACATTGAATGCTTATAGCCGACAAAACGGTGCCATAAGTTATCCAGTTATTATATTGAAATAAAGCCTTAAAGAGAATTTGATTGTTGTTTTACTTCTGTAATAAAAGTAGTATAAACCCATTATGAAATAACTAAATGTTTAGCGCTCGCATACCGTGCTTTTATGCAATTTCAAGAATTTCATACGATACCTTAAAGTCAGTTGAGATGTTGCACTTTTATCATCTCTCAAAGATAGACTCGGCCTAGCCAACTTTACAACATTTACCTTTATTCTATTTTTTTTATTTATTCATTTATTTTTGGTTCCTGCAAGTAAATATGTTAATTACCGGTCACTGTAATAATTAATTTTCATTTATAATCATTTACTAGAAACTGGACGTTATGAAAGATAACCTGAATCTGAAAGAGTGTGTCCAATATGCAAAGATTGTTGAAAACGAAATATATGTATTATTGAAATGTCCAACTTACTCTGCTGATAGCAATTTACTTTTAGAAAAAGGCAGTTATGTTAAATACAAATTTTGAATTACTAAATGATATTGATAATTTCAATTTTTGTTTACCCACCCAGAAATGATACGTACATTAGCAAAAACCTGCTGCAATATATTGAAACTTCAAAATAACACTCTGTATAGTAGCAATGTAAACACACAATAGACTTGAAATTATTGGTATGTCTTCAGTCGTATTATAAATAATATTTTAATAAACACTTATTTTTTGTTTACCTTTTAGTGAAAGTCAGATGTTTGTGTTTATCAATATTGTAATAATTATCTCTATAAATTGACTTGTTATGACATATTTTATCTCTTAAAAATTGGACTGTATTTTATATCGGTTTAAATATGACCAACCATGTTTCAACCTATATTTAGTTGCATTCTGTATTAACAAGGTAAATTCTGCTAATTAGTACACTCCATAATCAAAGAAGGCATATACACCAATAACACTATAAAGATGCACAATTTTTTGAAAACCTATATTTGTTTCCTTTTTTATAGTAAGCTTATATTAAAGGTGTTGCTGTTGGCAGATTTTACAGTTGTTATCATGTGATGTTTAATATGTATTTTTTAATGTGTAATGTATTTGATTATATAAGTGTATGTATTTAATATATACATATATATATGCCCATAACATAACATACTAGTTTTTAAGTTGTATAGTATGTAAAATATATTAAGTCTCTTGTAATTCTTGTAATTCTATTCAAAGAATGGCCACAATTACAATATAATGTTTATCTTTTATGTTGAAATTTATGTAAGTGTGCACAGGTGAGACTATAATAAATAAATAGATTTATAAAACTTGTATCCAACTCTCACGTTACTATAGTAATTACGTTAAATAATTATGTTCACTGTTGACACATATTTGCCATCGGTTACTTGAAACATTAAGATATATTTACTTTACAACAAACGAGTTTATTGTATACACCTTTATACTGTCTATATCGGCACTGCTCCTTAATCTCGTAACAAACCAGGCGAAAACAAATAAAAGCAAAAAATAAATAGAGATTATGTAATGATTTAAGGTCACATATGAATCAAATAGTTTGACTTTACGTGACCACATACCATATCCACTTTTCACTTTATATCAATGTTAAATTTAAAACTTGATTATCTTGTTTGTAAATCCTTTTATCTCAAAGAGTAACACACTCATTAAAGAGATATAAATAAAATTAAAAGAATAAATTCTTACCTTCTAAGCATGATTCAGTTAACGCGCAATGAATATATTACTTAAAAAATCAAAATCAAAAGACGTAATCCAAGCATTCCACCATAATGTTGTATAATAACTGAACTTATAAGCGTATGCACATGTATTGATGCTGTGTTTGATTTTTACAGCACAAGAGAAACGTTGTTAGATAATTTTATACACTGTTTAGTTTACAAATTTCGCAAAACAAGATATTTATATCACTAAGGTGCATTAATTTATTTAAACAAGCAGTGCGCGGTTACATCATGAACTACTCAC